AACGTGAGCAAGGCAGCCCCAGACGTGGAACGCAGACGCGTCACCGGGGGACCCGGTCCAAAGAAGGGTCGGCGAAACCTGCGGCCGCTGGGAGCGTGGCCACAGGTTAAGCTGGTGAGCAGCGTAGCGAACAGCGAACGGCCACAGAAAATGGGGGGCATCGGCATGGATCATGGAGGTGCGGGCGACCTCCATGACCAAGCCGATGCGGCGCTCAGCAACCCCATTCTGCTGTGGCGAGTCCGGCAAGGTGTACGACTGGGTGATGCCCTCCGCACGACAGAACTGTCCAAGCCGACCAGAGGCGAACTCGCCGCCACGGTCGGAGTGGAGACACAACACGGGGAGACCGCGGTGGAGACGCGCAGCCACAACCTACGGGAGAAGAATGTCGGGCACGTCGGCCTTCCGCTCCAGGGGAAACACCGTGGTCTAGCGCGTGTAGTCGTCGACGAGCACAAGGAAGTAGCGCTCACCGCGCGGTCCGGGGACGGGGGCAGGGCCCCAAACGTCCAGGTGCAGGGTTTGAAGGGGGGCAGTAGCCGGGCGCAGCGAGGAGGAGTGAGGGGCATGGCGGAGCCGGCCCTCGACGCAAGGCGTGCACGGTGGCGCAGTCAAGGGAGGAAGGGCGGGGAGCGACACAGGGAGACCTAAGACAAGGCCGTGCTGGGACATGTGACGCAGACGAGGGAGAGCAGGGTGACCTAAGCGGTGGTGCCAGAGAAGGGACGGGTGAGTGAGGGAACGACACGAGCAAGCTGCAGCAACCTGGGAGGACGCACCAACCGGAGGGGAGGCGGTGTCTAAGGTAAACAGACCGGACACCGGGTCCCTGGGGAACATTGCAAGGGGGGAACCTGAGACAGCCTCAGAACAGACAGTGAACCGCTCGTGCCCGGGGAACGTGGTGGTGACGCCAAGGTCCTGGAGACAGCCGACACCAACCAGGTTCCTCGAGAATGAGGGAACGTGGAGGCCTGTAAGGGAGCCCGAGGGAACTGCTGGATAGGGAAGGGACGTAGAACTGCGAGCGACGACAGGACCCGCAGAGGGGTCGGCGAGAGAGACGACAGCTGGTGTAGCAAGAGGCGTAAGTGCGGAACGGTCGCGGAAGAAGCAGGCAGAAGCACCGGAGTGGAGAGTGAAGGACAGCGCAGCAGTGGCAGGGGCGGGGAACGGAGCCGGTGCAGAGACGAGGCTAGGCAAACGAGGCAGTCCTACGCCTGACGCAGCAGGGGAGGCTAGGCTACACAACGGTGCAACACCTAAACTAGAGAACACATGATAATAAGATCCAGCAACACTAGCAGCGTCAGAATACATGGCATGCAAAGCAGCACCTATCTGATCCATGTCTAACTCAAAGATCGGCACGCCCTGGCGGAGCAGGCTGTGCCAGTCTGGGAGGTCCGGGGCCGGGCCAAAGCGACGACGAAACATATCGTCGGGGCGGCGGAAACAGCGGGCAGTCGGGTGCGGGCGGCGGCACAGAGTGCCGCGAAGGGGCCCGGTCTGAAGCTGGTACTGACAGGTGACAGCACCGGAGCCGCTGGTAGACGCCAAGCTGCGCGGGCCGCCACCACTGCCACCACCCCCTGAGGAGCCGGGCCAACCAGGCGGGAGGCGAGCCCACTCCTGCGGGGGCTGCGGCTGCTGCTGGGATGGCGGCTGTGGCGCGGGCTGCTCCTGCTGCGGCTGGGGCTGCTGCTCCTGACCACCAATGCTAGTCCCCCCAGACGGACTACGATCACGACCACCAGCACCACTACCTGCACCACCACCCCTACCACCCTGGCGACCACGGCCACCGCGGCGCGAGCGCTGCTGCGGGTGGACCGCAGCAGCCGTCTCGGTGAGAGGGGTCGCCGTGGCGACCGCAGCCGAAACGTCAGTGAACGTGCACTGGGAGGGGGCACAGCCGTGAAAGATAGAGACTGCCGGCGCACCGCTCGACTGAGCGATAGTGCGCTGGCGAGTCTCGATCTCGGTGAGGGTGTCGACAAAGGCAGTGAGAGTGAGGTCAGACGGGTGCAGGCTAAGGAAGTGATCGCGAGCACTAGCGAGGCGGTCTGGCAGGCGCATGGCGATAAAATAGAGCGTTATGCAGAAAGGGGGGGGGGGCGCAGTGAGCTGGGCAGCAGTGCTGGCAGTGCGATAGCGGGTCTCTAGAGCACGCAGGTGAGTGGCAAAGTCTGCGACGGTAGGGAAAGCTGCAAGGTCTGGGAAAAGCATAGGGAAGAGCAGGCGACCAGCAGAAGCAGACGCGGGTGTGGAATAGCGGGCAATAACAGCGTCTAAGTAAGCTTTGGCCGTCTCAATAGTAGCAAAACGCGAGCGCTCAGAGACAGGAAGGGCATGGCTAATGGCGACCTGAGCGACGGCATCGCGGGAGTCCCAGACCGCACGGGCAAGCGCAGCAGTAGAGAAGGTCTCACGGTCATCAGAGAAGGGATCAGCAGGGAGAGGGGCAAGCCGTCAACATGGACAACCAAAGAGTGGCCATCCTGACGCTGACCTGTGAGGTGGCAGCGGAGATCGGAGAGCCAGGCGGCGAAGTCAACCGCATGGCCCTCGGCGTCCAGTCGGAGCACGTAGTCCGCCATCGTGCAGGGTCAGCGGTACAGCTCCACAGGAGCTCAGCTACAGCCCCCTCCAGCACAGTGGCCACAAAGCGCCTCAGCACGGGCGAGCGGAGGAGACGGAGCCTGAGGCGGCACTGCAGGACGAGCCGGGGTGAAAGGGCCAGGCAGGTACGGTGGGGCCAGGCAGGCACGGCAAGGCTAGGCAGGCGCGGCGGGCCAGTCAGGGGCGGCTGGGCCAGGAGGCACGGCGGGGCCAGAAGGCGTGGCGGGGCCAGGCAGGTGCGGTGGGGCCAGGTAGGCGTGGCAGGGCCAGGCAGGCGCGGCGGGCCAGTCAGGCGCGGCGGGCCAGTCAGGGGCGGCGGGGCCAGGAGGCGCGGCAGGGCCAGGCAGGCGCGGCGGGGCCAGGCAGTGCGGCGGGACCAAGCAGGCGCGGCGGGGCCAGGAGGCGCGGCAGGGCCGGGCAGGCGCGGCGGGGCCCAGGAGGGGCGTGACGGGCTAGGAGGCACAAGAGGGGCCCAGGAGGGGCGTGACGGGCTAGGTGGCGCGCCAGGGGCCCAGGAGGGGCGCGACGGTCTAGGAGGCGCAATAGGGGCCCAGGAGGGGCGCGACAGGCTAGGAGGCGCGGCAGGGGCCCAGGAGGGGCGCGACGGGCTAGGAGGCGCGACAGGGGCCCAGGAGGGGCGCGACGGGCTAGGAGGCGCGAGTGGGGCCCAGGAGGGGCGCGACGGGCTAGGAGGCGCGACAGGGGCCCAGGAGGGGCGCGACCAGGGCCTTAGATAGGATTTTAGGCATCCTGACCAATCAGGGTGGCCCCCCAAGAAAACGTGTTGCAGTCAGGGTTGGTCGCATATGTTCATACTGATTCCCCAGGGTGGTTCCCCAGTTCTATACTGTGGCCTCAGGGTAATTTCTGAAACGCTGGAAATCTTGAAAGTCACTTTAAACAGCAGCAGTACACTAACAGGGAGTCCGTGCTTCACATGTTGCGCTGGGTTGAGGACATTCAGCCGCGAGTGGCTGAGTTTGCGTCAACTGCAACGCACGGGACAAATCTGACCTGGAATTTTCTTAAGCTGACTATCAAAGGCCTGTGGCCCACGAAAAGAAATGGTGAGCTGCGTAAGGTTGGATGTTGAATAAGGGTGTGTTTCTGGCTGCTAGTCGAGGTTCTAGTCTAGTCAAGTGGGCAAGTTTGCGGTTGAGAACTTTGCGCGCTTGAATAGAGTGCGCCCCATTTGACTAAAATCTTGACCCTGAGGCGAGAAACGCGCCCTCACGTGACGGGATTTTGATTCGACGTCACTTGGGCATCAAGAATTCGATGAGGAATTAGCCAGAATTCTAGGTTGCGTAGGGGCTGCAGAGGAGTGTCTCCAGCAGTGAGGAGGGGAAGATTCTCTTTAGCATTGAGGACTTAGCCGATTTTTCGGAGTAGCGGGGGGTTTCGGAGGGTTGTCGCTTGCATTGAGGGCTTAGCCGAAATGTATTTGGGCAAAAAAAACAAGGGTTACCCAAGTGGCGCACGTGTATGTGCAAGATTTGAGAAATCAGGGTTCTGCCTGAAGGCATACTGACGGCTCAGGGCTGGTACACTAACATTTTACTGAATCCTCAGGGTTGCACTATGATTCAAAACTGAATTCACAGGGTGAAAAATTGTCTCAAACGGATTTTTCAGGATTGGCACCTAAGTGGCATCCTGAAAATCAGGAATTCATGATAAAACATCCTGAAATCTGAGGCCCTGGGCGCGACGGGCTAGGAGGCGCGAGTGGGGCCCAGGAGGGGCGCGACGGGCTAGGAGGCGCAATAGGGGCCCAGGAGGGGCGCGACGGGCTAGGAGGCGCGGCAGGGGCCCAGGAGGGGTGCGACGGGCTAGGAGGCGCGGCAGGGGCCCAGGAGGGGCGCGACGGGCTAGGAGGCGCGATAGGGGCCCAGGAGGGGCGCTACGGGGCCTTGGTGGGGGCGGCGCGACGGGGCCTAGGTGAAAGCGCGACGGGGCCTAGGAGGAATGGGCGGAAGCGGTAGGTGGGGGGGGGGGGGGGGTCGAACCTACGGGTGATACCATATCAAAAGAAAACTGAATGATTGGATAGAGGGAGAGAACAAGGGTATATACCTAAGAGTGTTGTACCCTCTAAGAGGTGACCCTATACAGTCTATACAAATATGAGTTATACATATATTTGACAGGTGATGCAGAGCTTGAAGAGTGGAAGGAGAAAGCCAGCACGTGATCGACGCCCTTGTTTCAGCGTGACATGCTTGCAGTTCAATGCAGTGTGCCCTTCCAGGGCTGCAGCTGTGCCCTTCCAAAGGCAGCTTAGGATCACTTCTTTTTAGTCTTCATCTGATGGTTGTTGTGGGTGCTGGAGTGGCACACTGCATTGCATTCTTTAGGTTAGACCTGTATTGCTGCAACATGCACATTTCAGAAGGGCTAAACAAACAAGCCAACGTTTGTTGCACAGCAGAGGCGTATGAGTCAGCCAGAGAACGTCAAAATAGAAGGTTGCACTACAGATGACACTGAAAATCAAGGACTGCTGGCTTGGATGGACATGTTTCAGCCAGCTAGGCATTTACAAGTCCAACTCAAGGTAAACCCATCAGCGTCGGGGTGAACGGGAACGGCGAGGGGACCTGCTCGCGCTTCGGCTCCTGCTGCGACTCCTGCTGGGTGTGCGGCTGCGCCCACGGCGAGGCGGTGAACGGCTGGAGATCAACCACAAGGCAAGCGAAGTAAAATCATGCAGGGATATGAGAGTGCACCCACAGATATGCTTTTCAGATATGTCAAGAGACAATGTTACACAGGACAGAGACTCTACACACCTTCCATAGCGACCATAGTCCGGGCTGCCCCGGCGCCGGCCGTAATCCGGACTCCCTCTGCTGCGGCCATAGTCAGGGCTTCCTCGACGCGCTGGCCTGTCGTCATCAAAGCTGTCCTCTCTTGCAGCAAATTCTACAGTAATTTGGCGACCATCAACGGAGCTGCATAACAAGTGTTGGAGAAGGAAACTCATGATGAGAAAATGAATTCACAACATAATTAGACGCACAGAGCAGAGACAGGATGGAGCAGCACAGAAGCAAGGATGTGATGAGTCATACCTTCCATCAGTTCCTTTAACTGCTGCTTCAGCCTCCTCAATTGTCTCATATTGCACAAATGCGAAGTTCTTGCGAATCTGGACTCGAACCAGCTTGCCATAGGGTTCAAAGTGCCTCTCCAAGTCGCGGGTTCGGGTGTTAATAGGGTCAAAATTAACAACAAATAGGGTCTTCGATGGCTTGGAGTTCCTACGTTCTACCTCTCTTTGCTTCACTGGGCCTTCACCCTGTTAAACAAGATAGACCAGATGAAATGATCTGAAAAGAGTTTAAAGTTACAAAACGTCCAAGGGACGACGATAGGTGAGAGAACATTAACCAGCAAGCGAGAGAGGACTCCTTACTTACCCTGGCCCATTCAACGCGAAGGCGTCGGCGTTGCCTACCGAACTCCATGCCGTCTAGAGCCCGGATGGCATCATCACCATCGCGCTCGTCGTCCATGTACACAAACGCGAAGCCTGCATGTCACATGTCAGGGAAAACACGCGCACGTAGATACTTTGATCATTAGAGGGTAGCAGGAATAGCATGGCGGAAACGACACCGATGAAACATTAAGAGAACCGGCATGAGAAGCTGCTGGAAAAAAAATCGACGGAAGGCCGAGAAACGTTGTAAAAGAAGTATCTACGCGGTGCACAATGGAAAGCACGTGAATATAGCCAGCACGCACACCCGGGATAGGACAGATGTGCTAGTTGACCGTGTGAACGATGACAGGCTGAATCTCTGTCCTCTGCCTAGGTTGGTCTCTGAACGAGCGGTGGGTTGTCATGCATTTGCACTGAGCACGGTTGGACCGGATGGACACGACGCATGCGTGGAAGAGCAGAGAAAAAGTGGCGCCACAGTTGTCTATATTGGCCTCTGTCGCTGGCTAGTGCCCGAACGCGCGTGCATCCAGCGCGTGAGAACATCCAGAACCACCATAGCCGGAAGCTGAGATGGCTCATCACGTTGTGCTTGCTGCGATGCCAAATGTCGGATGTCTCATGCCGTGTTGTGTGCTTGCTTGCTGCGATGCCAAATGTCGGATGTCTCGTGCCATGTTGTGTGCTCGGAATTTTATGTTGTCCGAAGGAACTGCTAACTGCTGGCAATAGGGATGTCCAGACGCGGTGTCCGGTTCGTTGTTCCCATAGACCTGCAGTTTAACTGAGCCTCTCAAACAAACTCTTCCGTGAGTGCTAGAAAGGAGATATAAGCAGAAAAAGCGATTATCATACCAGTCTTCATGTCCACCCGTGAGATCCGACCGTACCGGTCGAACAGCCGCTCGATCTCCGACTGCCGAGCCTCATACTCGAAGTTCCCACAGTAAACCGCTCGGGACATCGTTCCTGCACCTGACTTTTATCAGGTAACTAAAGTCCGCAAGAAAGAACCGCAGTTATCACGATACTGCCCTCACACTTCAGTGTCTGATAAGTCTGCTGCGTGAAGTCCAGACCAGATTTCTTCTCTTGAGCTGGGTCAAGAGGATGCTGGGGTTTCCTTTGTTTCCTTCTGGTTCTGCCTGCTGTTCGTCTCGCTCCGAGTTGTCAGCTTGCAGGTTGAAATTTCAGAACCGCTTCAAGGGCGCAAACCCCGAATTGCTTTGGCCCGAGGCTGACACATGGAGGGTGACACGAGGCTGCGCCAGACTATGCTGTGGTGAAGTTGACGAGGCTGGACACACAAACTGTCCTGATAAGAAAAAAAAAACGACACATAAATACACTAGTACGGCTCAGGCTTCGAACTTCAAATGATACCTAGCTATTATGTGCTTGACAACACTGCCTGAAACGCGAAGGGCACAGCAAACTCCAAGGCTACACCTGGAAAAATAAACTGCTTACACTGACAGCATTTACGCACTAATTTCAAACGAATCAAGCTTGCGTCGGATACGTTTTGAGTTTGGGAACATCAATAGTTGCCTCCCAATACCCCCTAGCACCACCACCGCCACCACCATCCCCACCGCCGTCGTCACTTCCCACGTCATCAGGCAGCGCCTTTCGCTGCTTCTGCTGGCGCATCCGCTCGGTCCTTACGGCGTCGTGAGGACCTTAACTCAGCGCGTTCCGCTCAAACGCGCTGACCTCACACGATCGCTCTCCACTCGCGATTCGTCGATCCACCTGAGGCGTGAATCTTCGAAGCGATCATGGCGGGAGGTCACGGCAATGGGCACGGGATCACCCACGGCGGCCTGACGCTGCACCCGGCAGCGCGCTGGCATAAGGTCGTCGGCACCGGCATGTGCGCGATGATGTGGTACAGATCTCTCCCTCCTCCCCCCCCCACACCCCCACTACCTGTTTCCGCTGTACTGATATGCTTTTGAGTGGGCTCAAGCGCTGGCATAAGGTCGTCGGAACCGGCATGTGCGCGGTGATGTGGTACGGATCTCTCAGTGCTCCATGTCTGGTACCCTTCCCTGTTACTGCCGTCTGTTACCCCTGTCCGTTTCGCGCCGCACTGATGTTCTTTCTTTTATTAAAAGCTCGCACCTCATTAGTAGGTTCCCCCGGGTTGGATCCACGCACGATTAGTTTAGAGAAGGGCGACCCAACCTTCCTTGCGATTCATGTACCTCATCGGGATCCCATTCCACGTAACCCTATTTTCGTTAAAAAATCAATTCGGCATCCTATTTTCGGCAAGCAGTCGTGCTTTTGTTCCACACCATCCTGTTCCCTGTGAGAAAAAATAAAGAACGGAAGCAGAAGCACCCATCTCTCCTCTCCCATTTCTTCCACCACGTATCCCTCCATTCATGCAAGAGCTTGAAAGGCAATCACATGCTCACACTACCGTCTTCCCATGTGTCTTTACCGTTGCTGTAGGTTCTGGATTCTCTATCGTGCCAAGGAGGACGGCCCAGTAGTGCTCGTAAGTCGTGCTCTTTTTCCTACTGCGTCTTCTCCTTCCCCCCCTTCCCCTTCTTACTTCCCTCTCACCCTACCCGCTCCTTTTGTGTCTTGAACACTTGTCGCTTTTTTTCTTGCTCTTGTTACCATTTCGTGTCCTCCTCTCCATCCTTCATGTCCCATGGCTCCCTGTCCTCTCGGATTTAATGGGTTCAAAATGAAATTCTGCTGTGTTTTCAGGGCTGGCGCCACCCATGGGAGGGGCATGGTCATGGGCACGGGCATGGGCATGCTGAGGCACATGGGGAGCAGCATGCTCCAGCGGCAGCAACTACTTCTAGCACTGCCAGCCATGTGAGTTGATGGTCCGCATGCTCTCGCCTGTATGGGCACATCGCATTCGCTTCTATGCTCGTTTGCTAGTTTCCAGCGACCTCCTACGAGCAAGAGCCATGCAGATCGTTTCCTTGTCCCCTCCTTGCCTCCTGGTTGCTTCACTTTACTCCCCTCCCATTGGATTCTGATCATTTTATTTATCCTGGCATTGGCCCCTCTCTTTTTCCCATCTTCTCACCCATCTTCCCAACCATCTGATGACATGCCTCTCAGTGACGCATGACCTAGGGAGGGACAATCACTCCAGATTCCAGAAGTCAAGTGATGTTGGTGTAATCAAACTCTTGATTAGCTAGTACCATGATATGTTGGTATTCCCTCTTCCAGTTTCCTGTGCCATGATTCAAAGGTCAAGCAGCAGCCCTCTGTTCTTGCAAATCTAGTCAGCCTGGAAGTACCAATTGCCTTCCAAAGGTTAAATGAAAACAGAAAGCTTATATTCAGCAGCTAATGCACATAAAAGGGGAATGTCTAGGCCCTCTGTTTAAAGCCATACTTTTTCCTTTCATAGAAGAGGTCTGTTCTCGCACTACCAAGGTTAATGATCTTTGGACACCCGTCTCGGTCCTTCTCCTGCTGCGTGCACTCCTTGCAGTAATACGCGTCCGATATGCCCTGCCCTCCACATATCACACAGCGACCCTGAACCAAGGGAGAGAGAGTTAGGAGGGAGAGGGAAGGGTGGACGGGGAGTGGCAGGGGTAGGTGGGGTGGTGAGGCAAATTCTTCTCATGCTGCACGTGCTCCTTGCAGTAATACGCGTCTGATATGCCCTTCCCTCCACATATCACACAGCGACCGACCCTGATCCAAGGACAAGACATGGGAACCGGGAGGGAAGACGGGGAGAGGAAAGGGGGTGGTGGAAGAAGGCGAGGAGATGGGGGGCAGGGGGAGGGGGGGAGGAGGGGGAGGGGGAGGGGGAGGGGGAGGGGGAGGAAAAGTGGGAGCGAGGAAGGGCGGGAGGCGGGAGGGGGTGGGGACACATTAACGATCTTGCTTTTAGAAGACGGCATGGCATCGTTTGATAGATGTCATAACACGTCCTAACTGTCCGTTTTTTAATTAAACGCAAAATTATTGTTGCCATAACATGTTCTTAACTGGTTGCACTGAAGCTTCCCTTTCAGTGCACCCTTCAGCTCTAATTGACTCATGACCTATTCGCAGAAGACCTTCTGACAACCAAGCTGAATCCAGCGAACCCTGAACAAGTGAATTATTTCAAATAAGTCATTCCTTGTTTCGATGGCATAAATAATCAAGGGACAATCTGAGTGATCAATCAGAGAATGATCGATGCTGGTGTTGATGCTCTCACCTGGTATGACCCGTAGTTGCACTCGTCGCATATCCGCACGAGGGTGCAGGGTCGCACGTACGAGTCGCACACGACGCATTTTCCGTCGCATTTTTCGCACAGGCGACCGATGGCGATTCCCGGTTGCTTCCGACACATGATCAAATCAGGATGATGCTTCGCCATGGCTCAGCTTCTGGCGAGCAAACGAATTTTTACGCCGCCTCAAAAGGCGAGCAAGCCGTCAACGGCTTCGATTCCACCGTAGGAGCTGCAGCTCGTAATTTAGGGCTCCTACTCTGGCGGCGGTCAACGGCTTCAACTCCACTCAAGGAGTAGCAGGTCGGCCAAAAAAATACCCTTGAGAATTCTAAAGAAACCTAAAACTCTGACGGCGGTCACTGGTCACTCAAGGCCTTCCACGTCACTCAAGGCCTTCCAGAAACGTGGCAGCTAAAACTGGTTCCGGTCCGCCTCCTTTTGCCTATTCCACGATCGAAGCTGAAAAAGAGGCACGCGCAGATCAGCACTAGCTACTGACCACGTTTGCGCGGCCCGGAAAGACTCCGTTCTTCCGAGGAAGCTGGGGTGGCTAAGTGATTAAAACTTGTTGGAGATACCTAGGTCAGGAACTACTGTGTGAAAAAATGGCGAGAAGCGAGGCGACGCACACAGAAAGCTGAGATGCCCAGACAGATCGCACAGGTTGGGGCGGAAGACAACAACCAGATACTCGCGCTATCAGTGTTTTTTTTAGGTAATAGCTTACGGCAGGCTGTAGCTTGCCGATTTTTCTGGAATGTCAGGCCTGCCTCGATAACTCCAGAACCTGTCTGGATTTCGTTCGATAATGTGATGTAGTAGTAGAACAATTTGACGCAAATCAGTGCATGCCCATGCACTTAGGGGAAAATGCCTCAATGGTTAATAGGAGGGGAAAATGCGCTAGGAGCACAACGATGTGCTCCTAAAAATGTAGCACTAATGGATACAAAGGCTAAACTTCATCGCATTAGCATCCTTCCTCTTCTGCCCTCAGTTGTATCAACTTCATCAACTACACCTCAATCAACCCTTCAATCAACCCCACTTCTTTCCATTCCAACCCTACACGTATTTCACTCACTCCCTTTCTCACGCAATCCCTGATTTCCTTCTCACTCATTGTATCACGCAATCCCACTTTCCTCCTCTTTCCTCCTCCCCACCTCCACCACCTTATGCGGCACAATCTGCCCTCGCTTCCGCTGCACGCGCCTCAGCCACCTGTGATTGGCCGCCGCCACTCTCTGCTGCTCTACCCGCTCCGCCTCCCTCTCGTTCATCTCCCGCACCACCACCGTCAGCCGGCTCCTGTATCGGTGCTTTACCCCGGACCGCCCCCTCCCATGGGGATTCAGGCGCTTTAGGTACCTCCCCTTGCCCACAAACGCTTCAGCTGGCGAGCGAGGGAGCGGGCGAAAGAGATGGATGGGAAGAAAGAGGGGAAGGGAGGAGGAAAATAGAGTGAGGAAAGGGGTTGGCTGGCTGCAGCAGATCTCTGCTGCTCCATGCGCTCCTCCTCCCTCGCACTCATCTCCCTCACCACCACCGTCAACCGACGTGCTTCACCCCGGACCGCCGCTTTAGGTACCTCCCCTTGCCTAGAAAGGCCTCGGCTGGGGAGGGGGGGAGTCAACAAAAAGAGATGGAGGGGAAGAAAGAAAGAAAGAAGAAAGGAAGGAAGAAAGAAAGAAAGAAAGAAAGAAAGAAAGAAAGGAAGAAAGAAAGAAAGGAAGAAAGAAAGGAAGAGGGGAAAACAGTGTGGGGAAAGGGGGTCGATTACCGCCCCATGGGGGTTCAAGAGGCCTCTGTGCACCTCAAAGACCTCAACTGGAGGCCTCTGTGCACCTCACTCCACCGCAATCAACCCCTTATCCCGCCCCTCACTCACCTATAATCAGCTTCCTTTCCTCCAACCCATGGTTGTGCACTACATTGGCCTCGGTGCACCTCACTCCACCGCACTCAAACCCCTTATCCCACCCCTCACTCACCTATGATCAGCTTCCTCTCCTCTAGCCCATGGTTGTGCACCGCATTGGCTCTTGCTGCCGTGACGACCTGAGGCGCGGGGAGGGGAGACATGGAAGAGGGGGAGAAAAAATAGGCTAAGGGTGGAGCGTGCAGAGGAAATGGCAAGGCAACCCTCAAGGGCGAAGGGTGAAGCGTGCTACCCTCGACCTAGCCATATCTCATCTCAACTTAGCCACATCTCATCTCACCTTAGCAACAGTCTTAGCAGCCCGCTTGGTGCTGACGGCCATCTGCATGAGCGCATCTTCGGGCGTCATGCCACGCACCATGGCTGCCACTAGGTTCACCTTCTTGGGACCCTGGCGAGAGGGGAGGTACAGGAAGCAAGGGGGGGAGGACGGGGGTGGGTAGGAGAGGGGGGGGGGGGAGAGCGAGATACGGCCATGTGCATGAGGGCATCCGCAGGGTCATGCCTCGCGCCATGGCTGCCACAAGATTCACGTCTACGGACCTGGGGGGAAAGGGGAGGAGGAGAGAGACAATACAATCGTGGGGGGGGGGAGACGAGAGGGAGAGAGGCATGAGCATGGAAGCATCTTCAGGGGCCTGCATGCCTCGCACCATGCCTCGCACCATGCATCGCACCATGCCTCGCACCATGGCTGCTGACAACTAGATTGAACTACTTTCGGCCCAAGGTGGGGTGGTTAGAAGAGGTAAGCTTGGCGGAGGGAGGGATGAGGAGGAGGGAGGAGTGGGAGAGAGAGGCATGTGCACGACCTGGAAATCGATATAAGAACCATCTATATAAGAACCATTCAGTACCCGTTTGACCCCAAAAACTCGTACCTGCTTCAGCCCTGCGAGCACGGCCCGAACCGTGCGCCCAGTGGGCGACGCGGGCGACAGCTGCGACGTGCCTGTAACGAGGGGTGACACTACCGGAGCGCCGGCCGTCGGAAGCAGCGTGGCACCGGGCGGCTGAGGCTTCTCCCCGCTAGCTCCGCTGGTTGCCACGTCAGCAGCTGCAGCAGCTGCAGCAACGGCGGGAGATGAGTGAAACGCGGATGATGCGAGGCTTCGGGAGCCGATCGATACGGGAAGGGCTTGATGTTGTGGTATCGAACAATGCAGAAATGAACCGTTGGATCGATGCCACGTGTCTCCAGGAGAAACATCGCTGACGTTAACGCCGGCAATGGAGGCGGCTGTTCGGGTGAGGACAGGATCGATTGTACAGCAAATAGTGGAGTCAAGAGGTTGCCTAGTAGCGAGGACGGCATTAGCGGGGACAGAAGGCGGCAGAGGCGCTGATGACGAGGCGTGTGAGGGCCTAAGCCAGTATCGCAGCGCCCCCGCGGCTGAGCGGAAGTGACGCGCCGCCGATCCGCTCATGGCTGCTCGCAGAATGTGGTGCGAGACACTATTCCATACCTGCAGGTTGCCACATAGTCTTTAAACACAATATTGATAATTTTAAACATGTATATTCACACATCCGTTGTAGTCTAGTCGGTTAGGATATTCGGCTCTCACCCGAAAGACCCGGGTTCAAGTCCCGGCAACGGAATGCGTTTTGTCGTGCCCTTAGTTTTTTACTTGCTGGTTATGCGTCTTTCGCTGCAAATGACCCTTAGACAATGCGCTGTGTCGCCCTAAGGCAGCCACTTACTCACTTCGCCGCAAACGACGGCTGCTTTTGCCAGCCGTTCCTAGCAACAGCTTCTTCGTTCATAAACGATTCTAAGGCGTCGAGTTAATTTGTGGCAAGCTTTCTCTCTCCTCGCTTTAGCGTTTTGGCGTAATGACAGCGGCATGCGTTCCCCGACCACTGTCGCTTTCTCTATCGCAATGCCGTCGGTCGCACGTTGTCGCATGCGTTCCCCTACCATTGTCGGTCATCGTCGCTCGCCGTGGGTCGCACAGCGTCGCGTACCGGCGAGATTTCGCCCGGCAGGCGACGATTCTACTGCCATCCGTTCTCCTCCGGCGTCTCACGTTACCAAGGCGGAATGACCATGTCCCCTCCGTTCCCACATGCCGCCATGTCGCTCTTCCGAGTCGCAGGCGTGTTTCCTCCACTTCCATCTCGCCATCCTTCCCCTCTCTCCTCGTCTCCTCATCTTCCTCCTCCTCCGTCTCCTCCGCCTCCTCCTCGGTCTCCTTCGCCTCCTCCTCGGTCTCCTCCGCCTCCTCCGCCTCCTCCCCTCCGCCTCCTCTCCTTCCTTCACAATAAGCGCATCCGTCACTTTCCTCTCGGAGATTAAAAAAAGCCGCTTCGTGGCTATAGCGGCGCCGGTGGGGTCTCCAGAGGAGGCGATGCGAGTAATAGAGGAGGTGAGAGGGGAGAGGGGAGAGGGGAGAGGGGCGAGGGGAGAGGGGAGAGGGGAGAGAAGAGAGGGGCGAGGGGAGAGGGGAGGGGTGACAGGGGAGAGGGGATAGAGCGGAATGTGAGAGGTGGAAGCAGGCTGCGCACAGGGGTCTCCAGAGGAGGCGATGCGGGTGATAGAGGAGGTGAGAAATTCGTTGAATTTGAACGCTTTTGAAACACGCTCTTTAGCAGGGGTGAGAGGGGGGTGTGAGAGAGCAAGTGAAGTTATTCGTGTTTTGAGATGCACTCTTTTATGTTCCAGAGGAGGTTAGGAGCGTGATAGAGCAGGTGAGCAGCGAGACAGGGGATGAGAGAGATAGGAGTTTGCTTGGCAGGACTCACAAGTGGGTCTCCAGAGGAGTGGTCTGTGGTCTGCTAGCTGTCTTGGCTTCGAAAAGATCGTTGTCTATTATTCGCTAGAAACTTCGCTTCTAAAACTTCCTCTTGCCGTCTCTCTCTTGCTGTCTCTCTCTTGCTGTCTCTCTCTTGCTGCCTCTCTCTTGCTGTCTCTCTCGTGCTGTCTCTCTCTTGCCGTCTCTCTCTTGCTGTCTCTCTTCTTATCCCTCCGCCCTGTGCCAGGTCAGTGATCCATCAGCCACCCACAACTGCTGGGCGTACAAGGTGAGCCGTGGGGTATGATGGCGTACAACATGTAAGGGCGTACAAGGTGAGCTGTTACATGTTGGTATGATCAAAACGGCGCTTTGCTGGATGCTCAACAAGAGTAAACAGATGGGCAACTCTTTTGCTTTTCCGATGCCTTCTTTTTTTCCCTGTGCCCCCATGTGCTCCTGATGCCCTTCTTTCGTTCTGTGTCGCCTCCCATTCAGGTTTCTCCAGCATACCGCTTTAATGATGACGGGGAGCCAGGAGGAACGGCCGGGCGGCCAATCTTGGCAGCTATTGAGGGAGCTGGAGTGGACGGAGTCGTGGTGGTGGTAACCAGGTAGGATGGTGACTTCTGTGGTGGTAACGAGTTAGGAAGGTAGCTTCGGTGGTGGTAACCAGGTGTGACTGTAACCTCTGGGAGAAAAAAGGCAGATACAGACGCTCCTGCTGATCATTCTTCTATGCTTCTTCTCTGGTTGATCTCTTCCTGCATATGCTAAGTGCAGGAGAGTTTGCCATGCCCCATTTCCATTTCATAGGTACTATGGGGGAGGTGACTTTTGAGTCGACTCAAGAGTTTGCCATGCCCCATTTCCATTTCATAGGTACTATGGGGGAGGTGACTTTTGAGTCGACTCAAGAGTTTGCCATGCCCCATTTCCATTTCATAGGTACTATGGGGGAGGTGACTTTCGAGTCGACTCAAGAGTTTGCCATGCCCCATTTCCATTTCATAGGTACTATGGGGGAGGTGACTTTTGAGTCGACTCAAGAGTTTGCCATGCCCCATTTCCATTTCATAGGTACTATGGGGGAGGTGAAGCTGGGAACGGGCGGTCTGGTGAGGGCGTATGGAGGGGCAGCATCAGGAGCGCTACCCCCCCTCCTCCCTCCTCCTTCCCCCACATGCCCTTCACCCCTTCCCCCACATGCCCTTCACCCCTTCCCCCACATGCCCTTCGCCCCTTCCCCCACATGCCTGTCACCCCTTCCCCCACATGCCTGTCACCCCTTCCCCCACACGCCCTTCGCCCCTTCCCGCACATGCCAGGTACTACGGCGGAGTGAAGCTGGGAACGGGCGGCCTCGTGAGGGCATATGGAGGGGCAGCATCAGGAGCGCTACGAGAAGCCACTCTGGTTCCAGTTCTGAAGAAGGTAGTCTCATATCTCGCTCTTACATGTCATATGCACATGCGACTTTTGAGCCGACTCTAAAGTCACCTTGTTCGAGTGCTGAGAAGGGTAGTATTATCTCTCTCTCACCTAGTATTATTCTCAAATGTCCAATGCACATGTTGCGGGAAGAGAGTTGCTGTTAACCATGGGCTGTGCAGAAGCATGGTTGCGCTCGTCGGCGCATGCAATGTATGTTTTCATCTCAACAACATACTCTGCTGTTTTCATCTCAACAACATACTCTGCTGTTTTTCATCTCAACAACATACTCTGCTGTTTTTCATCTCAACAACATACGGCAATATTCAGTGCTCGTGCTGTTGAACATGCTCTTGAGGCGAGAATGCCTCACCTCTTTAATGCTCTTTCTGGCTGCGTTCTTTTCGTCGTCTTATTTACACATGGTCAGTGCTTCTCTGGCCTACTCTATGTCCGTCCGTCTTTCCCCTTGGAACATTTTGGTCGTGGCAGGTGGCTTTAAGAATCGTTGCGCCAGTGCACCATGTGGGACTTCTTTACACTCTGGTATGCACGTGCATGCACTATATTGCATTTCTCTGATGCTGTCTGGTATGTATTGATTGAGCTAAAGGTGTTGAGCTACGCTCACCCTAAACCCTGTCAGATTTCCCTGTTGCGTCATGGAGCCCTTTTTTCAAGCTCCTCACCATCCAACCTCCCTGTTTGGTCAACCCTCTTTTCCTATTCTCCACTGCATGTTTCACTCATCGTGGTCAAGCTTCAACGCCCCGAATACTCAGTTGAGAGATTATCAGAAAGCTACAGTGAAAGTGTGGATGGAAAAGGGAGTGTAATCGAGCTTCAGATTCTAGCGCTCGCTGACAATGTTCCTAGGCTTCAAGAAGCTTTGTTAGACACACTGAGAGGAGATGTTTTGATAGTGAATGTGGAATGATTATGGGTTTCCACCACCTTCAGTTCAAGCAAGCTTTTGAAATTTCAATTGTTTGTGCATCAGCTTGATTTTGTGTGCTGGAATTCAGGTGTTCACTCTCAAGGTACGTTTCACAAAGCAGTAAATGTCAGCGACCCCAACAGGGAAATGGGAGTTTGGGAGCTTTCGAGAAAAATGGGCAAATCTCGGGTGACACATCATCGCACGAACTTTCTCCCACTTTGGACTAAGGTACAAGGCATGGGAAGAATTGGCATCCTTGTCCGGTTAGTCTAGTCTAGTCACACCTCACATACGAAGTCATGGCTTGTTTGGGCTTTTTGTTATCCATAAGTCAAGGTTACGAGTTTTAAACGGTTACAACATGTAGAAGCTGGGCAGTATTGCAGTTTAGAGAGGCGTGAAAATCAGGACTCCCTTCGATTGGCTCCATTTCAATTCTCTCGCATACTTTCCACCAATCACACCCTCCCTTTTGACAGCGGCCACCTTTCGCGATCAGCAGGGTCGGAATTCCCAAATTGCGGAGCAATCAGTTTTCGGCCGCCTCGCCCCCTGGGAACACCCAGCAATCGGCGTGTGACCCGTCCATCCCTCCCAACGAAGCCACCTTCAGTTCAGCCAACTCCTTCCGCAGCCATTCGTGTTCCCTTCGCGTCTGGTTTAGTTCGGTGCCCCACGTTCCAATGCGGTTGAGAGTGCAACCCGTTTTCTACCAGGACGCGCCCTACTGAACCGTTTTCAACATACTCAGATCGTAGCGCGGCATGATCTCTGAAACCAAGGTTCTGCCTGTCACCCAATGCCCGGAGCTCCCCATGTTTCTGACAGTCATTCCGAAGCTCGGATTGTTTCGGTGAGATTTCCACCACAAATTCGAGCTCTTGCACATACCAAGAGCCATCTGGCCTTGTCTTCTGCTGTGAGACCTCTGGTGCTGACGACCGCACCACCAGTGCCTCGTCGCTTTATTCTGCAGAACCGCTCTCTACGACTACAGTAATAGCGCAGATTACCAGCCATTGGTCGTGAATTGGTACCAAGCTCGGCCGTTCGAATTCCGGAACAGCCAAGTTTGCTTCCAAGGGTCCACTACACTAGGCTGAGCCTGTCTTTTAGGAGCAACTTAGACCGATCGCGCAGCCCTAATGGCTTCTTTGGGACGAAGAGGGAGTCTTCAGACCCCTGAGGACCTTGCCCGGACCCCAACGCTGGCCATTCAGAAAACGGCGGTTAGGTTGCACGCACGCAGAGCCAGGTCACTGACACAGGATTGGTTAGTCATGGAGCCGGCCTGTCATTGGCCGGCCGTCGTAGACGACTCGGGCGTGAGTTTTGTTTCCTGAACAGCAGGGATTGAAACGGCATCGGGCCGCCTTCCAGGTACTGGCGATGCCTATTAATCTACCGTCTGAATAATGGGACGAGCTATGTCCTTCACAAGTCGACGGAGTAGTATTCCTCGACGTACGGCATTGCGACGAAGATTACCTGGTACAGTGAGTCGCGATACCTTCGGATCGCACACGAATTAAATCCTTCACGCTCATCCATCTTCGCACCATCAGTAACCGGCTTCCGCATTCGTCGGAATCATGGGGTTTCACAGCGCAACCCTCGCCGCGGCTCGCGCTACTCCCGTTGCGATCCGAGCCGACAGCTCGAGCAATCCCAAGGCCAGCGGACAAGGTCGTCTAGACAGCAACCGCATCCGAGGAAAAGGAGTTGTCTCCCACGGCGTCCCTTCCTCTTCCTCGCTCTCGACCAAAAGGAGTTCTCTCCTGCCTTTACGGGGAGATTCCGCGCGCGTCCCGAGGCCCGCTGCGCTGCGCCTCCGCGTGGTTGCGGAATCCGCCCCCGCAGAGGGCGCGGGGAATCCCGCCGGCGGCGGGTCCAAGCATCCGAGAGACGTGATTCCCGCCGCCGCTAAGGCTGATGGTGTCTCTATTGTAGCGGGTGCTACAGCCGTTGCGGAGGCACCTGCGGCGCTACAGCCGCCGACGGTAGCCGGCAGTGTCCCTGGTGTCGGCGCCGCCGCGGCGCCAGATGCGGTCCGGCTAGTGCCACGTGTGGAAGAGCGCGAGGGGTATTGGGTCCTAAAGGAGGAGTTTAGGACGAGTCTTAACCCCGCGGAGAAGATTAAGATTGCCAAGGACCCCATGACGCTCCTAGCGGAGGGGGGTAAGGCGCTGCGGGAGCTGGCTTTAAAGACGATGCAGGAGGTGGATGCGAGTAAGGAGGCCAAGGACGATATCGACTCGCGGTTCAAGTGGCTGGGTCTGTTTCACCGCCGCAAGCAGCAATGTGAGTTAATCCATTTGTGAGGCGTTTCTAGACTGGCTCCCTCACTCCCTCCCTATGGGCAGTCGGTTCTTGATGTGCCTGCGCCTGCCCAGCTTTTGTCTGAGTCCCCCTCCCTCCCTCCACCCCTCCCGCCAACTCTTTCTCCGCCCCTCCTTCCGCCCTCCTTCCGCCCCTTACAGACGGTCGCTTCATGATGCGCCTGCGCCTGCCCAATGGCATCACGACAAGCGAGCAGACTCGGTTTCTCGCTGACGTCATCAGCCGCTACGGCGACGAGGGCGTTGCTGACATCACCACGCGGCAGAACTGGCAGATCCGCGGAGTTACGCTGCAGGACACGCCGGATATTATCGAGGGGTTGAAAAAGGTACAGAGCGGTACTGAGGGGTCGAGAAGGTTCCGTAGGGTCTGGAAAGATGAGTGCGTTGCTGACATCACGACTCGGCAGAACTGGCAGATCCGTGGGGTCACGCTGCAGGACACGCCGGATATCATCGAGGGGTTGAAAAAGGTATCTGGTGGTTGAGAGGGAGGTGTGGGACTTGGGAGGGGGGGAGGGGAGGGGCGGGGAGCAGGGGAGTGTGGGCTTGACACATAGGGGGAGGAGGGAAGTCAGTGGTGGTGGGGGGGGTGGGGGGTGAGGGGGTGGGGGAGGGAGAGGAATAAGTCGACGTACCAACGGTAGCAACATGGTGGTATAAGGTTGGTTTTGAGACGTCTCAAGTCCTCTCACACCCCTGGCCGACCTTCCCCGCATTTGCCTATCGCTCCCCGCCCTCCTAGGTGAATCTCCGCTTCGTCCAGCACGGGATGGGCAACGGCCACAACCGTGGGCACTCCTCTCCTGGGCACTCCTCTCCTGGACACTCCTCTCTCGGGCGCACCTCCCATGCTTTTCCTCTCTCTTTCGTCCCTCCCCTGCGTTACTCTTCCTCGTCCGCCCCTCTCAGGTCAACCTCCGCTTCATCCAGAGCGGCATGGGCAACGGCCGCAACGTGGTGGGCAATCCGTGGTGGGCAATCCGTGGAGGGCAATCTTTCCATATCACATTCCCCCACCCTTTCCCTCCATCCTCTCCCCTCCCCCACCCTCCTCATCTCCCAGGTCAACCTCCGTTTTATCCAGAGTGGCATGGACAACGCGCGCAACGTGGTGGGCAACCCGCTGGCGGGGATCGACCCTCTCGAGATCATTGACACGCGGCCCTTCTGCCAGGCCATTGATGACGTCATCACAGGGAACGGCGATGGCAACACCGCTCTATCCAATCTGTGAGTGTGGGGCTCTTGAGTGATTGTCAGGGGGACTAGGCCCTTGTGCTTCCTAACATCGACCCCTCTCGAGATCATGGACACGTGGCCCTTCTGTGAGGCCATCAATGACGTCATCACGGGGAACAGGGAAGACAACTCGGCTCTGTCTAACCTGTACGTGTGTGCTAGTCTTAATACACCGGATGAAGAAGCTATCCTTGTGATATTGTGCACTTCCTTATAGAGAGGCCTTGGGATGCGTGTTGTGTGGTGACTAGTCATTGACCCTGGTCCAATTCTCGTCAGTTCAGAAGGCTAATATTGCGTTCCTCTTCCCCCCTTTCCCCTCCCCCCCTTCCCCTCTCTCTCCCACTTCCCCCCCTCTCCAGCCCGCGCAAGTGGAACGCCAGTGTGGTGGGGTCGCACGACCTATTCGAGCACCCCCACATCAACGACCTCGCCTTTATGCCGGCCCTCCGCCGAACCTCGGGCGGAGGTTCGGGAGAGGAGGGAGAGCTGGGATTCGAGATGCACGTGGGCGGTTTCTTTAGCAGCAAGCGATGCGAGGAGGCGATCCCCATGGACGCGTGGGTGCCAGCTCAGCCTGCAGACGTGGCGGCTGCCAGCCGGGCAGTGCTGGAGGCGTTCAGAGACCTCGGGAGCCGCAGCAACCGGCAGAAGACAAGGATGATGTACCTTATAGAGGATCTGGTGAGTGGCGGGGTTAATGTATGCAGTGTGCGGGCATCACTATGCGGGCATTCAGAGACCTTGGGACCCGCAGCAACCAGCAGAAGACGAGGATCTGGTGAGTGGCTTATAGAGGTGGTGAGCGGCTTATGGGGTGAGTTAACACGCATGGGAGTGCTGTGGGGATGTGGGGAGCCCCCATGACTGGCACAAGGGGATGATGATGCACCTGATAGAGGATCTGGTGAGTGGCTCACAGAGGAGCTTGTGGTGTGGGTGGCTTATTGAGGCGTAGGTGTGTATATGCGTGTGACAAGGGATGCGCTTCTCAAGAGGCACTGAGTGTGCACAATTTCTGGTGTGTGGAATCAGTGTGAAATTTCTCTGGTGGCCTTGCTTCTTCTTGTAACACGTCTCTGTTAATCACTGCCCTACCCATTGTTCACCATAAACCATCACCTGTTGTAACCATTGCCCATTGTAACCATCGCCCATTGCCATTGTAACCATCGCTCTCTGCATCGACTTCTCTTTCTTTCACGGTTCTCCCTCACCAGGGCATGGAGGTGTTTCGGGCAGAGGTGGAGAAGCGGATGCCCAATGGCCACCTGCCACGTGTCAGCTCCACCCTTCACCACAGCAGCAACGGAAATGGCAGCACCACCAGCACCACCGCTACCCCTGCCAATCCCATAACCCACTCCCTCATTGATCCTTCCTGGACTCGCCGCTCATACCTTGGGGTGCATCCCCAGAAGCAGCCCGGGCTGGTCTTTGTCGGGCTGCACGTGCCCGTGGGCCGGGTGCACCCGTCGACCCTCTACGAGCTCGCACGATTGGCTGAGGAGTATGGCTCGGGAGAGGTTCGGCTGACAGTGGAGCAGAATGTGATCATTCCGAACGTGCCTGTGGGGAGGGTGGGGGAATTGTTGAAAGAGCCGCTGTTGGGAGGGGGCACAGGGGAGGTGGAGGCGGGGGGAGGGGAAGGGAGGAGGGGAGGGGTGGAGGCAGAGGAGGAGAAGGGGGAGGTTGGAAGGGGTGGAGTTCGGTGGGATGAGTTGAGTGCGCAGCCGGGGAATCTGATGGGGTCGCTGGTGGCGTGCACTGGGAGCCAGTTCTGTGGGCAGGCCATCATCGAGACGAAGCAGCGAGCCGTGCAGGTAAGGACGGGCCGTTCATGTGGCCTTGGTGCTGGCAAGCGGTAAGAAGTGATGCCAAAGGGGTAGTGGCATAGAGTATGTTTGGGAACCACACTGGGCAGCACACTGGGGTGATGGGGTGGGAATTTGGGATTCGTTTCTTCAAGGGGGGCACCATTGAGGCCAGGCAAAGAGCAGTGCAGGTCAGTTGGTGCGCCGTGTGCTGCTGGTGCTGGCGAGGGGTGGTGGTGTTGCTTTGGATTCGACCATCATTGAAGCAAGGTTAAGCGCGCTGCAGGAGCACTCCTCTCCTTGTGTCCTCTGTCCCCATTCCTCTGATTCCCATCTCCCATGCTTTACTTGATCTGTTTCAGATCACCCGGCAGTTGGAGGAAACTTTGAATCTGACCGAGCCAGTCAGGATCCACTGGACTGGCTGCCCGAACTCATGTGGACAGGTGAGCTTTGACCGGCATGTAGGTTCGTAGAGTGTAACTATGCGTGTGTTACGTTCGCCTCCTATCTATGCCAACTCCTGGCCATCTTGCTGGTCCTATTTTCTCTCTTACCTGTCACAGGTGCAAGTTGCAGACATCGGCTTGATGAGGTGCATTCTATACGTTCCTCCAAAACCCTCTCACATCTCCTCTGTCGTCCCATGTCAAGCGTGCCTCTCACGGGTTCAAGGTTCAGACATCAGCCTGATGGGGTGCATTCTATAGGTCCCCCCTTAACCTTCTCACATCTCCTCTTTCCTCCCACTCTTTCGTCCCATGTCATGCGTGCCTCTCACAGGTGCAAGTTGCAGACATAGGCCTCATGGGGTGCATGGCAAGGGACGAGAACAAGCGCCCGGTAGAGGGAGTTGACATCTATCTGGGAGGCAGGATCGGGTCTGATTCTCACCTGGGGCAGGTGCACAAGGCAGCAGTGCCCTGCAAGGACCTGCTACCTGTGCTGCAGGAAATACTTGTTGAGAATTTCGGTGCAACAAGAAAGTAGATATAATGTAAAGCATAACGGGGATGTGTATGTGCAAGGAATGTGCGAGTAATGCAGTAAATGCCCATTGAAAGATTTGGTGCAAGAATAAAGTATCCGTAACGGCTGTGTAAAGCGTTGCTGCCAGATTGCACGGAGCTGCAACTAGTTGTGCAAGGTGACACTGGTGGAGAGATTTGGTGCAACGAAGTGAGAACCCTGTAGAAGGCCTTTTTGCTGTGTTCTTGTATTTTTACTACCATGTGGTCATTACCATCACCTTTACTCAGCTCCATTGTTGAAATGACACGGTGAAATATTAACACATCTGTTCACGGCCGCGATTACCGATTTATATCGATAAGCACAGCGAACCTGGCAGATTTGAACAGTAGATACACTTTGGCCGAAGTCACGTATCGCTGCCTCCTCAAACCATCAGGTTCAGGTTTCCAACATCCCAACATAGCAAACACCGAAGCACTGCGTCAGTACGGCAGGGCAAGCATTGCTCCGCATTTGAAACCCGGGGCAGTAGACTATGTACTGCAGCTAATGCTTTTGCATGCCGCGTCGTGCCGGTAACATGCAACACGTCGACGTTTCTGGGTTTCGCAAGAAAAATGCAGGGTGATCCGAATGCTTTTTAGTATCGGATAGGACCAGTACAGAATGGAGCTGTGGCAAAGGTCAGGATTTCCCGTGCAGCTGACTCACTACTCCGGCAATTTGTGCAAATTTTCAACAATTCCAAATCGGCATGGAATTGCCCACTTACGAAGGAAAAAACTTGATTATTACCTGCTAGTCAAGAGTTTCTTAACCTGCCGTGGCCACAGCGAACTCGCACCCCTGCTAAGCCAGCCATCAAAGATAGGGTGGTGTGGTAGTAGGACGTGTGGAAGTAAGCAAAACTGCAATGTCCAGAATTTAGTCAAACTTTGCTATTCCAAAGGGTACGGCTGCCAGCCAAAAGGTGCCCTAAAACCCTGATAGCCTGCGGACTGTTTCGAATCCTTTGTTCCATCTGGAAGACCTGCGGCTCGATAAGCGAGCCCAGGACACCTGAAATAACCACCCACGAGCAAACAACGCGGCACGGAAGCACCAGCATCAGGTTAGGGCAGTCCATCGCACAGCAACTCCCTCCCACCTGGAGCAGGTAGGGCACAAGCCGCGCATCTTTCCCACCTTGCGGATAAAACACCCCCCTTAGCCCTTCGTCCCTCAGTCAGCAAGCTGCTTGCCCAGCGCATATAACGTAGAGCAAAACACGCACCATTCAATTATCTTTTGACGATTTCCACATATTACAGTGTATAGCTTCCATTTGACACCCGTCCCTCCCAGCTCGTGAGAATGGCTAGAGCCACGCTTCTCGCGCTCTCCCTGGCGCTTCTCCTCGCAGTCGCGCGCGCCGGCAGCCCCATCACGAGCTCGTCCGCCAACGAGAAGCCCGACCAGAGCAGCAAGAAGGACGATGGTCTTATGACCGTAATTCCTGCTGCTATTGCGAAAGCCGCTGCGTCAGGCGACGCGGCTGGTGTTACCTACGTCGATACCGCTCAGGATACGTTTTTCATGGCTGACGTGAAGAAAGCGGGGTGGAACGCGCAGAAGTGCCCGCCCGGTTTGAACAAGGAGCTGGCGGGAGCGTGCACGCCCAAGAACTGCTCCAAGGGTGGAATCGCCGCCAAGTGGAAGACCGCCTACCTGCAAAAGAACAAGCTCGGTTACGAGCTGTACGTGCCGGGTAACCCGCTGACGCTGCTCAAGGCGAACCCCTCTTCGTGCTGCAACACGTGCGCCTCGACGCCCCTGTGCACGTACTGGCAGTATATCCCTGACATCACGATCGACGGGAAGAAGGGCAAGGGCGCGTGCTACCTGATTCACGACCAGATCGACTTCACGTGCGGAGAGATGACCGCGCAGTACAGCACGGAGACGAAGCCCGTGCCCCTGCAGGTGCGCATCGGCGGCGAGTGCAACCCCGCGGCGAAGATCCTCAACGACCCGCATCTGGTGGGCGCGCACGGCACGCACTTCGACTTCAACGGCCGCCCAGACAAGGCCTTCTGCCTGCTCACCGACCGCGACCTCCACGTGAACATGCTCCTCCGCGGCTACTACGACGAGAGGACCGACAACGCGGCGCTGGTTGTTGACGGCAAGGCAGTGCACACGTGGATTAAGGAGCTTGGCATTGTCTGGACTGCCGGCGGCGTGGACCACAAGATTCGGCTGGCGGCGCGCGGCGGCAAGCAGCAGGAGCGTGGCGATGGATTCATGAAGAGCATCGAGATCGACGGCGAGGAGATCCCTCGCATGCAGGTCGGCGACAGCGTTACCGGCGCCGGCGGGCTTAAGGTCGAATTCCGCGGGCTCGAGAAGGAGGGACCGTTCGATGTTGACTACTACCTGCTCACGATCGACGGCCTGGTTTCCCTTGATCTCCGCCTCCGCGTGGCCCACCCCAAGCTGCAAACCCCGTCCGACGCCGAGGCGCACATTAATGTCGGAATTGCGGAGCTGGAGCACACGGAGGAGATTCACGGCGTGCTCGGACAAACCTACCGCGCGGATCACACTCAGCGCGCCGCGGACTTCCAGCGCCTGATCGCTAGCCTGCACCGTCCGATCTCCGCCGATGGCGCGGAGGGCAAGGGCTTCCTTGATGGCACGCCCAGGTCGTACGAGGCGAGCGACGTGCTCGCTGTGGATTGCGCTTATACCGCGTACGGCCGCGCCAGACAAGTCATGCCCGTGCAGCCGTAAAGAGCTCGGTTACAGCTCTACACGTGTATTGTATAGTGGGCTGAATGCATACATAGGAACCTAGACTACAAGCATGCTAAAGCCTGAGTTGGTGGGTCTCTAACTAATGGTTACATTTTTTTATTATCTGTTGGCACCAATCAGAACCAAGGAATATTGACCTGTTTCAGCATAAAAAAACCTCTGGGTCGTGCACTGCAGCGTCCTGCTAGCCTAGATACTCCACTGTTCTAATACCGTTCTATCCTAGTGCCCAGCCTACACATCCCACCCAATGCACATATCAGAGGGAAGGATCTGTGCTCTAATCACGAGTAGACAGTTGAGTTGACTCCTCTTGCTATATCAAAGCAGCAGGCGGTGCTCCAGATGGCAATCGGATCACACCAGCTGACAGTAGCAGAGGGGCAGGGGCGGTCAGTAGAACACTGTAGCAGAGACAAGAGGTTATTATCAAACAGTGAAATTGATGAATAGAGAGAGAGAGTACACAAACATATACCTAACTGTTGTACTCTCTAGAAGATGACCCTATACAGTCTATACAAGCATGATAACTAAACATGTTTGACACACCCCCTGGACTGCATAGGGGAATGTTCTAGACAAGCAGCTCAGGGTGGCACTACTAGTCCAGCCTCTGAGACAAGGGTCTAAAAGACCAGTCAGAAGGAGTACAGGCAAGGCAAGAAATAGTACAGGGCGGCACTGTTAACGTAGAAACGAATGATTACTAGAGGTGGAAACCTAGAACAAATACTAGTTGGTTGTACTCACTAGAAGCATACCTCAGTCTAGCCTATAACTTCTACATAGATAATATGTATAAGTTGACACACCCCCTAGGCTAGACAAGGGGTGAAACTAAACAAGAAGCAAACAGCTCAGGGCGGCACTACTAGTCCAACCACTGAGGCAGGGGTCTGGAGACCAGTCAGCAAGAATACAACCAAAACTGAAGCAAGCCAGGGTGGCACTACTAGTCCAGCCACTGGAGGTAAGGCCACAAGGCCAGTCTGACAAGCATATATAATAGAGAGTACACAATCAGGATCCTAACAGGGGAGCAGCTATAGGAACAAGACCAAGCTGTACACAGTGCCGCTGATGATCTTTAGGCGCAAGCGCCTTAGTAAAGATATCAGCTGTGTTGGCACCTGAGGCCAAGTGAACTACGCGGGCCTGGCGGCGCTGCTGTAGCTCGCGCAGGAGGAAGTACCGCAGCTGGATATGCTTCGCTCTGCCCTCAAGCCGAGGCTCCTGACACAGCAGTATCATGGCCCTGTTGTCAACGTACAGGACCGGGGCAGAGCTAGGCCGCTCACCTAAGTCTGTGAGCAAGAAGGTCAGCCAGCGGAGCTCCTGTGCCGCCATGGCACCAGCGTAGATCTCAGCCTCACAGCTAGACTGAGCCACAGACGACGAGCGAGTGGATCTCCAAGAGATAGCACCCGAACCAAGGCTGAAACAGTAGCCCTGCAACGACCTGAGCGTCTCAGCGTCGTCTGCCCAAGAAGCGTCTGTGTGCCCAGTAAGGACCACTGGCCTGCGTCCTCCTAGCACTAACCCCATGCCTGATGTACTAGCAAGATAACGCAAAACCCTCTTAGCGGCAGACCAGTGCTGAGGTCGGTGTCTGCCTGTAGCCACAAAGCGAGCCAGGATGCTGAGAGGGTATGCGAGATCTGGGCGAGTGCAAGTCATCAGGTACATGAGGCAACCCACCAGCTCTGCGTAGGGGCCACTGGGCTCTACTGGCTCCTCAGGAACGGGAGCAGAGAGCCCATGGTCTACGGGTAGAGGTGTGGGCTGTGCGGAGGAGAACTGAAGGCCGAACCTCTGAAGGACCTGACGCACCAAGTGTGACTGGGTCAGAGTGATGGTGCGTGCTGCTCTGTCCCTAGAGATCTGCAGGCCAAGATAGCGACGCAGCTCTCCAAGGTCAGTGCAGGTGTGTCTCTTCAGCAGCTCAGCCTTCACAGAGGCCAGTGCGTCCCTGTCAGGAGTAGCGAAGACCAGGTCGTCTACGTAGACAAGGATGTAGAACGGAGTCTGGCCGGAACGCACAAACAGTGAAGGGTCAGCAGAGGACGGAAAGAACTGCAGGTCTGCTAACGTGGCACGTAGCGTGTCGTGCCACTCGCGGGGAGCCTGACGCAGGCCGTAGACCGGGCGCCTGAGAAGCCACTGGGTCCCAGGAGGGAAGGTACCAGTGAAGCCCTGTGGTCGGCGCAGGTAGACCTGCTCATGTAGGCTGCCCTGAAGAAAGGCAGTAGAGAAGTCGAGGGAGTGAAGCTCGTAGTCACGCTGTGCTGCTACGTGTAGCAGCGCCCGAAGAGTGGTCATCTTCGGGGTCGGGGCGAAGGTCTGGAAGAAGTCAACCCCCTCGCGCTGACTGAAACCTCTGGCCACGTAGCGCGCCTTGAAGACAGGCGGCTCTCCAGGGGGGCGCTTCACCTTGAAGAGCCACCGACCATCGACTACGTTCACCCCAGGCGGGGGAACTGCGTCGACGTAAGTGCCGGTGGATCTCCAAGATGCCATCTCCTGCTCCATGGCAGCTATCCACTGAGAGGCCCAAGGTCCCGAGGTGGCCTCAGCGTAGGTGCGAGGGGTCGGGATGTCGAAGGCGTCTGGGTCACCCTCAGGGACTAACAGCATGGAGCAGAGATGGGGAGCAGCCTCGGAAAGGAAAGCCAGCTCGTACTGCCTGTCCTCTAGGACGTCACTGCCAAGGGCAGGAGCACCCCCGACGGACAGAGGACGGGCAGGGTCAGAGACCAGAGCGGTAGCGTAGTCAAGGCGGCGGGTAGAAGCGAAGTCAGCGACAGCAGCGACAAGCGCGTCAAGGCGCGAGACAGGAACAGCAGGGTCGGTAACAAGAGAGGCAAGGACCCGAGGGACAAGGGGACGAGCAGCACGGAGGTAGTCAGAGAACGGAGGAGGTGCAACAGCAAGGGACGAGGGAGGAGGGGACGGGAGGAGGGGAGGACGAGACGAGTGGGAACGGAGCAACATAGGGTGGGTGGGCAGGACAGGAGAGACGGGACGAGCACGGGAGGGACGGCGAGCCCAAACGTGAGACGGAGGGGTAGGGTCAGGGGACAGCGGAGGAGACACAGGAGGGGAACGAGGAGGAAGACGGGCCGGAGATGAGTCTGGCGGCGGGAACACAGGACCGTAGACAGGGAGGTCAGGAGGCGGTGGGGGAGACACCGGCGCGCGGTCCGGGGAGGGAAGGCCGAGCAGGCGGAGAGCGGAAACCGGCGGCGACGGCTGCTGCGGCGGCGACGACGGCTGGGCCGGAACTCTCGGACCAGCAGAGGCAGAACGACCGTCGGCAGAACACTCAACAGCAGCACCCCCAGAACCAACACCCCCAGAGCGAGAACCCCCTCCAACACCAGCGGCACCCCCAGAAGCCGCAGGACGAACACCCTCCTCCACACCAGCACCCCCAGGGGCCGAGAGCAGCGGCGGCAGTGGCGGCAACGGCTGCGGCGGCGGCGACAGCGGCGACGGCTGCGGCAGCGACAGCGGCGGCGGCGGCGACGAAAGCGGCGACGGCTGCGGCGGCGACGGCGACGGCGGCGGCAGCGGGGTCGGCGACTGCGACAGTGGGGGCGGAGGCACCGGGGAAGGGGGACGCGGCAAGGACGGACCGGGGGTACCACCAGAGTCAGCAGACTCCTCAACGGGGACAACCGACGGGAGGGGAGTGACGTGGGAGACACCAGACGGGGCAGGACGAGGCGGGAGAGGGGCAGGGGCTACCGGGGGAGAGGGAGCAAGGAAAAGGGGGGGGGCAACTGGGAGACCTCGGTGAGGGAAGCGGCGGTAGAAGGAGACGGACTCATCAAAGGTGACGTCACGAGAGTGGAGGAAGCGGTGAGACGGCGGGTGGTAGAAAAGCCAGTCAGACGAGTCCAGGGGGAAACCGAGGAAGACACAGGGGACAGTGCGGGCAGTGAGCTTGTCCGTGCCAGAGGCACGAACGTGAGCAAGGCAGCCCCAGACGTGGAACGCAGACGCGTTACCGGGGGACCCGGTCCAAAGGAGGGTCGGCGAAACCTGCGGCCGCTGGGAGCGTGGCCACAGGTTAAGCTGGTGAGCCGCGTAGCGAACAGCGAACGGCCACAGAAAATGGGGGGCATTGGCATGGATCATGGAGGTACGGGCGACCTCCATGACCAAGCCGATGCGGCGCTCAGCAACCCCATTCTGCTGTGGCGAGTCCGGCAACGTGTACGACTGGGTGATGCCCTCCGCACGACAGAACTGTCCAAGCCGACCAGAGGCGAACTCGCCGCCACGGTCGGAGTGGAGACACAACACGGGGAGACCGCGGTGGAGACGCGCAGCCACAACCCACGGGAGAAGAACGTCGGGCACGTCGGCCTTCCGCTCCAGGGGAAACACCGTGGTGTAGCGCGTGTAGTCGTCGACAAGCACAAGGAAGTAGCGCTCACCGCGCGGTCCGGGGACGGGGGCAGGGCCCCAAACGTCCAAGTGCAGGGTCTGAAGGGGGGCAGTAGCAGGACGCAGCGAGGAGGAGTGAGGAGCACGGCGGAGCCGACCCTCGACGCAAGGCGTGCACGGTGGCGCAGTCGAGGGAGGAAGGGCAGGGAGCGACGCGGGGAGACCTAAGACAAGACCGTGCTGGGACATGTGACGCAGACGCGGGAGAGCAGGGTGACCTAAGCGGTGGTGCCAGAGAAGGGAGGGGTGAGTGAGGGACCGACACGAGCAAGCTGCAGCGACCTGGGAGGACGCACCAACCGGGGGGGAAGCGGTGTGTAGGGTAAACAGACCGGACACCGGGTCCCGGGGGAACGTCGCAAGGGGGGAACCTGAGACAGCCTCAGAACAGACAGCGAACCGCTCGTGCCCGGGGAATGTGGTGGTGACGCCGAGGTCCTGGAGACAGCCGACACCAACCAGGTTCCTGGAGAACGAGGGAACGTGGAGGCCAGTAAGGGAGCCCGAGGGAACTGCCGGACAGGGAAGGGACGTAGAACTGCGCGCGACGACCGGACCCGCAGAGGGGTCAGCGAGAGAGATAACAGCAGGTGCAGCAAGCGGCGTGAGCGTGGAACGGTCGCGGAAGAAGCAGGCAGAAGCACCAGAGTCGAGAGTGAAGGACAGCGACGCAGTGGCGGGGGCCGGGGACGGAGCCGGTGCAGCGACTAG